AAATTGCAATAATTTTATCGTTGCTTTTCCATAGAGATGCATCTCGATATGTTCTGACGAGGGTCAAACAAAACGCAAAACACGAGCACGTAAATGTATGCGGTATGCCCGTACGAATGTGAAAAAATGCAAATTGGACAATATATAACTGACTAGTTTCTTTTATTAATTGTTATTAATATCGTTATTAATTTTTATATAAAATGAGAAACACACAAATCTTTTATATTAGCCTGTAAGTTGTCTATGACATATAGAAGACTAAAGAGAAAACACCCCATTGACCTCGCTAAAGAAATAAAATAGACAAACTCGAAGATGGTATCGCGCTGGGGGCAGCCATCCACACGTTATTTAGCAATAAAGCTAGAAAAATTTGCCGAATGTCCAGCTGGACAAATTGTAAAGTACAAATTAAATAATAAAAAAAATCTCTAGACGCCGAACAAACTTGACTTCTCTCGATCACGTTGCTTATTTTACAGTAGCACGTTTCAGCTGTTCAGGATTAGATGGTCTGTTTTAATTATAGAAGAGCATTCGTCGTATCGAGGAGCTGAATCCTTTGACAGATTGTGAGAATGTACAATTTTGGAATGTCCAATTCTAATCCATGAAATAGTCGCTTGGTCTCTCCTGGGAAGTGTACTAATAGACCGCTTATGTTAAAATATGACAGCAGCATATGAGATCTATGGACGTAAAATATACACAAAAAATATGTCAATAACATGTTTGACATAAGTTTGGTGCGTCGGATATTATTTTTTATACAAAATTTAGCAATAGATATTTAACAATACTTTTACATTATTTTATGCGATAATAAATTATAGACGCCTTGTCAAAATTTGCAGTTAGTAACTGACAGAATTTACGTCTCTGATATAATGCTTATTTATCTTTCCAGGCATTTATTTTTGAAAAATTTAAGAGAACGTGTCCTATGTCTATTTGTTATTCACCTAATTCACGTAGCAGATAACGATGCTATAATTTTAATCAAACCGAACCATCCTCATTCGAAACATAAACAAACAACGTACACTTAACCAACTAAACATTACAAATATACCGTAACATCTGTTCTATATTTCATATCGATCACTACTACTGTTATCAGCAGTTTACACAGTTATCATAAGGTGAATCTAGTGAGATAAATATATCACAGAAGTACGTGATACGCAATATGTTTTGTATATAATATACACAGGTTGATAACTGATGGTACAAGCGGAAGGGGGATGATTCTACGCGAAAAAAGAAGACGAAAATATAGAATAATTATATTTTCTATTTTCTATAAATATAGAAAAATCACCCCCTTTCCGCTTGTATCACCAGTTACCAACCACCCTGTATATGTAATTTTGTGTAGGAAAATGCAAAGTAAAGAAGATATTTTTAGAATCTTCTAACCAAGCTACTTTGGTTTCGTTTCTCTGCTTGCATTCTAGAAATATAGATACATTCGCATGAACATCAGCAGCCTAATTACATATTAACTTTCTGCATTTCTTTCAAATACACTAACCTTATTTTCGATTCTTCCCAAAGATGTATTATAATACTTTGGTGATTAATAGGTAAATTGTACGAACAAATATACTGACAATGATTATTATTAAATGACGTCAAATACAACGTTCTGATATTATATACCGTACATAGCTTCTAAAAAATAATAAATGATTTATGTCAAAAAGCGTGTTGTTTTTTGCTTTATATAAAAGTTAATGACAATAGGTTCTTAATCATTTAGATATATATCATTCACCGTATATGAAGGTTGGAAAATGGTCGAAGAAAACCGCCTATTTTCGCAGTCGAGCCGATATTGCAGTCGAAGCGATGTAATCTCGTAATGCCTCGTGCCTCAATTACTTCTAATGGCTTTAACCTGTCACCCCTCGTGGCCAGTCTGTCAATATTTATAAGGTGTTTCCACCTATGTTACACGTTATTGCGTTCTAGGTGAGAGAATCCGACGAAGATTGCTTCTTTCCTTATTCGTTTTTGGTACTTTTATAAGTCACGAGCGAAGTTAATGGCTATCGAACACTGTTCCTCTAGTCGTCTTTGTCGATTTCGCAATAATTGCCTTTTTACGCCTTAAGGGTTATTAGTCGTCTTTATTGCATAGAATTTAGAATTCAAGTTAAAATTAAATAGGAAATTATTGTAGTCACACATAACCCAACAGCGTCATTCGAGGGTTCAACGGGATGGATGTTGTATTAGAAATAGATTTTGATTTGTAAATTGTTAAACATTGCTACGTTCTGCAACACATTTCCAACTCATTCGTGTTTTATTATCGGGAGAAGATGTTTTATATTTGAGAAAAATATGAGAAAATCGTGTTTAATGTACGTGATTTTTGCACTGAGGCATTAATGTAGGAATGTTATATTATTAGTTTATAGGTAACAGTATGATTAATACAATATCGTTTGCACTCACGCGTAATCGAATATAAAACCCCGTATTCGTTACTCACTACTTCTACGACACAACGACACAACGATCTTCACACGACGACGATAAGTTCAACTCTGACTCTCTCGACTCTCGTTACAATGTTTTCCATGCTCACCTTTTCCCCAACATACCTTGGTAGCGCTCGCAACACTCTTTGACAAGGTCAACGTATCTTGACAACGCTAATAAACAATTACCCCTCTTGCCACGTCCTTCCCTGATGTCACGCTATCCCACGTTAATAATCTTTCGGCTCGTATAAAATCTAACAATAGAGATTTTTATATCAAATAATAAAATGAAATTACATAGCATCACCGACTCGCTTCGATTAATAACAAACCACTAAGAAAGACACGCGAAGGACCGTCCAAAATTGTCGCTGTTCTATAAAACTGCTGCCACGTAATTGTAATAAAATTTCACGTTGTTCGCATAATATGCTCCGTGGTTGATCGTTGCACGAAGGTAAATATAACTCGTCATAAATATTCAATGAGGGGAAGAAAAATACGGAAATATATAAATGAGACAAAATGACGAGTTCGAATGAAATTGTACGTGTCGAAAGAAAGCCTGACATTCTGCAATCTGTTTTACGCTGGTTCGTTGATTTTCGAAGCGACCTTCATTTTTTTATACTTCCTTTTCTTCCCGCTGTAACATTCTCGTCTCGTTTTATTTTCTTTTCATTCATGTAAATCGTCCTGGGCGTATTGTCAAGAATCGCGCGAATGGAAATGTAGCACTGTTGGTCTCTCTTTCAACGTTGAAAGTCTTGCTTTTTATCGTTTTCTCGTATCAGCAATCAGTCTTAAATCGCTGCAATTTTTCCGAGTATCTTTCTTTTATGTCTCTTCCCTTTATTCTCTTCTCCTTATTAATTCAATTCCTCCTTTTATTTCCTGAAAATTATATCCGTTACCAAAAATTGCCTTGTCCGAAGTTTTATAAGCATAATAAAAATTTCTTCTGTATATGTGTAAATTACATTATTAAGTCTGGGTTGTTCCTTTTGAGTGCTGCAAAATTCAATCGAACCTTAAAGAGATGATTTTCCCAACGGAATAAGATAATTTGGAATTATTGACTTATTTATTATAATTATTTATTATTTAATATGATCAAAAAGTCTATCGCATTGTTTCGTTCACTTTTTGAAAATAATTATGTGTAGAATGTATATAATATACGGCAAATTAATTATTGTGAGAATATAATAAATTGCTCGTTTTATTGATCGTATAGCATAATTTTTAACATATTTTAGCGTAACTGACATTTAAGAGAAACAAAATTACGAATAATATTGGTACATTCGGAATATTGTGTAGAAAGATTGTGAAATGAAAAGAGATAGTTCGTTTGTTAATTGTTATTTCATTTATTTGTTTACTTACTGGCTTGTGCATCTATGTTTTATATTCTGATTATATAAACTCATTTGAGCATATAATAAGTGTTAATTAAGTGTGTATTAAGAAATACAGATATCTTATCAAATGGTAATATGTGTATTTAACTTTCTGTTTTGACATCAATTATTTAGAATTAGTATAACCTAATATGTAGAAAAAAAGATCAGTTATTAAACAATAAATGATTAGAAAATATAAAAAATTTCATCTTTCTGGCAATTGAATAAATCCTGCAGATTCTTATTATTTCTCCAAGGTTTTGTTAAAAATATTTTATTATTCCTGGAAATATGGCCAACAAAAAAAAGACAGAATATCGTTTAATCTTGTTATTTAGTTAACAACCACATACATCTGTCTGTAATTTTGTTTCCATTACATAATAAATAATCGATTCATATAAATATTTTGAATTATTAAAAAATTCAAATTAATGACCAGTAATTATCAATAAGAATTATTTGTAAATTTCATTTGAAACCTATCTCTAACATTCGAATTCATAATTCTAAATACGTAATCATACGACAAGCATGGAAATAGGAGAGTCAAAAATAATATAATTGAACAGGTACTATCAATAACAAGAGCACAAAGAGAAATTTCATGTCACTTAATCTTACAACAGTTTAGAACTTCGTCAAAAACAATTAAAAACCGACCATTAAGAAAGGAAAGCAACCTTAGAGTCTGTATCCAAAGAGAATTCCTAAAAATTCATTCTGCAAAACGATAAAAGCGTCGTTAACCAGCTAGTTGAAATGGAGCCATGAGAAAAGCATTAGACGACGAGCTGGTAGTAAGTAAATTTTGCTGCAAAAAATCGAGTAACGTGGAACTTCTAGGATAATGGCGTTTCGCATGCAGCGGTGGAAACTTTTCCCATAACGAACAAGAATAAAGCGATTCGAAAGGAATGGGAGAAAAAATTATAGCGAAACTCCAGAAGAAAGGAGAACAGAGAGAATCGAAAAGAATTACCAACTACATTTTTAGACATTATTAATTCTAACAAATTCCATTTAACACTGTATTTTTGCTCTTTAGAAGCTTCGGAAAAATCAAAGCGTTTTCTCCATTTGAGTAATTGAACGCTCTCTATGAGTGCTCCAAACATCTTCATTCTCCTTTTGTAGTCCTGTTTGAATATTCTTTCTACCACGCTCCATGTTTTCTTCATTACTATTGTTAACTTTCGAGCTAGTATTTATCGCACATTAAAAATGTGTATTCTCTTTTTAATGTTTTTTTCACATTAAAAATACTGTATTCTCTTTTTTATCATTTTACAACCAGCAGTACCAGCGATACAGCGATACTGTAGTGGCACCCGGCGATGGAACTTTCTGACGGTTTCTTTCATATAAAATATGTCACAGAAGCGTAAGGTCGACATGCGTAATGACCCATCGGTACCCTACGGCCCATCTGCCGAATATTCGGAAGAAGGCGTTCGTGGCAACGGTCATAGACGAACAAATGCGCGCGTAGTGGAGATGTCGAGGGGCGACAGAAGAAACGAGAAGAAACATTTGAGTTTTAACAGCGAAGCGGGAGAGTTTAGTTGTAACCGAGAAGTGAAAATTGTGAGAAGTTTTCGAAACGAGTGTGAGGCCTGTTAAATAAATATATCGTCGAACACCGCCGAGTATTTGTGAAATAATTGCTCGTAATTGTGAAATTGGGCTGGAATTGGAATTGAGCTGAATCATTATCCACAATGAGCGAAGGATCAAACGTGGATAATAACATCGTTAAGGTTGAAGAAAGGTGCGTTGTTAACGATAAGCTGGAGCGAATCAAAACAATGGGAGTTGCAGAGTTGAAAGATGAACTAAGAAAACGAAGGTTAAGGACAACTGGTGCAAAGGAAGAACTGCGAGATCGTCTAAGAGTTTCCATCGCCTTTGAAATCGAGTACGGCGAGGACGAAGGAGACGAAGGGGAAGAAAATGAAGAAAAGCGCGATGTGACCGAATTTGCGAAAAAAGTAGACTCGTACAACGTACATAAGGAGCTGTCGCGTCAAACCAAGAAGGAAACCGAGACATACCAAGAGTATGTCTGTAAAATGTTCTACATAGCTAAACAAGTAGGTATGGAAAATTCGTCCGTAATAAAATACATCATCGACGGGATTCGTGACAAGGAGACCAACAAAATGGTACTATACGGCGCCAAGAATATTCGCGAGTTAGAAAAGAAGCTTGTCCTGTACGAAGCCATGAAGGAAAACGCAAAGACGAAGGGTAAGCGAGTCGAAAAAAAATTCAAGGGGATGAGAGAACGACGGTGCTTTCTATGCGGAAATAAATATCATCTGGTTGTGAACTGTCCGATGAAAATCAAAAATGTTAGATATTTCAAATGCCAGAAATACGGACACATTGCATCGCAATGTAAATAACACGAGTAAATCGCCTGAAGATGCGTCACAGTCATTACAGACGAAGCGTCGTAGAGACATTAAGGTCGGAGATTGTGAATTGACAGCGTTAGTAGACACCGGTAGCGAGTTGGCTTTGATGCGAACGGATCGGTCTGTGAGAATTGGAACGGCACATATAGTGTCAGATACCTTGATGCTATATTCGTTGATCATTGGCACAGACTTTCTAATTACCGTCGAAATAAACATAAAAGACGGAGACATTTCCATTCATAAAATAGATGGCAAAGATTATAACGGATTTCCAAATGCCTAAAATAGAGAAGAAGTAGAGCAGAAGTAGAGAAAATGAATTTAATTCAGCAAGGCGACATTCCTGTTTATGAAAGACCGCGAAGACTATCTTCTTCGGATAAAGTCGAAGTCGATAATCAGATTAAAACGTGGCCAGAGAACGGAATAGTCGTGAGAAAATTTCAGGTGGTGCGAAGGCGAACCATCAGTCAGGGCGTTTAACGAGAAACGCAAGAAGACGACAGTGTACAAGACGAGAGATTCGATGGCAATTTTAAAAGGACGCAAGCCGCTCCTGGATTCCATCCGACGTTCCTTGGACGGTATTATGTGATTTTACTCAACGACCGCTACACGATGCAGCGAGAAGGCGAGTACGAAGAACCGCAAACGACTTCCACGGCGGTTGATTATGTGAAGTTGTGGGTCATTGATGAAGACAGTGCTATAAGTGAAACTAGTGTGATACTGAGCACACCTGGGAACAGATGTTTATATCGCAATGGCCCAGTGTAGTACCGTGGAATAATCATTCAACAAAACCGATGAACTCGCTAGGAGTACGAACTACAGTGCAGGTAGAAAGTGAAAGTGCCGAAGGATCAGAAGGGATGGAAAATTTCAATGGGCCATGTGACCCTGAGATATGCCCCTGGTCCTTCAGAAAGGTGGGTACTTGGAAAGGCGTATCGATTAGTTGTACCGATTTAGTTCCTTTAGTTATATTACATTAATATATTAAGAAGTCACTATAGATGAATGGAATTTATTTACAAAAAATTAATTTAGTCTGATAAATTTAACTACTTATATTACTGTTAATACGGACACAAGAAGAATCTTGCATAACAATTTGTTAATTAATAATATCATTAAATAGACAAGTTATAAACTGCAAATTATAGAATTAGATTTTACAGTTTCATAATTTTACGTCAAGCAGAATAATCAGATGACTTGTAATTGGTAATATTCATTTATAAAATTTAATTTCTCTTATTATCGAATATTTCTTAACAAGTTATAAAATATCTCTCATCTGTAAAATTTTACTAATATTTTTCACTTCGACTGTACAAACCAGACTAGATGATGAATTAAATTGAAATAACAAAGAACAGATTTGGGTTAACCATAAGATCAAGTAGAAGAGACAGCTTTATAGTCAGACACATACGCTTATAAAAAAATAGGCAGGCGTGTGTGTAAGAAGGTTGATCAAATATGAAATATTAATGAAGTATGCAATTATATTAATATTATTCTTCATGAATATTATAAAACACGAAGAGTACACGAATAATTTTTCTTAATTATAAATAAATATCTATCAAAAGATAGCTAAAAAATGAATAAAAAGGAGTCATTATACATACTTAAAACTATATATAACTCTAGTATATTATACTAACCGAGTAAAACGAGTAAGCCACGATTGATTAAGCAAAACAACTATAATGTGACAAAATACCCTACGGTATAACATTTTTTAACATAATACTATTGTTACGTCTGCATAAATCAAAATCCATGCCTCAGTCAAGACGGCCACCAGCTGTACAAATATAATTAGTCGGACCAAAATAATCCTAAGCAACTGTCATAAAATTAAGCATCTTTATTTTACCGTCAAGGCATTTAATTGCTTCAAAACATTTTTCAAGTCGAGAAGTTAGCCATGTTACTGCGCCGCGCCAGAAAAATTACTGAAAATTCTCAACGCGAGAATTGATTGTAATTTTATAAATAAATAAAAAAAAAGTCGAGAAGTTCCTTAGGGTTATTGTACAATCCGGTAAAAAATGGAAAGGTCGGATTACATGTTCAACGGTCATTTCCACCCGCAAGGGACCGTTGGTGGGGCAACCAGCACCCATCACTAATCTCATGTAAATACCGCTTTCACGGAACATAACTTCACTTGCTATTACTTCTTTGAACCGCACTTGACTAGCTTTTCGATCAGTTGTGGCGGCACTCGACCACGAAAATTTCCAACGGCTTCGCGACATAAAGCGCTATACCTTGAAAGCCTAATGTACCTGTTGAGATATGTATAATTTTCTGTGCTGGACTAGGTTAAATGCGTAATAGAGATACTTGTGTGTGAATATCAGTGTGTGGAAGTATGTGTGTCCGAAGCGCCTCGAAAACAAAATAATGTAAACAGTTCAATTAAGAGTCGGTTAACAGTCGGGTATAGAAGAAAGTGCTGAGACGCGTGCAAGTGTGTATCAATGAATATATAAGGAATCGTTCATGAAATAAATACTTCATTATTTTAATATTAATCCTCAGTATAAATTTAGTGTTCCTATAACATTATTTCGGCTTCAAAGATCCACAATTCTCAACATGGTAGCAAAAATCGTGGTTGCCGTACCATCGATATATCCCTAAGGTTCTTTCGCTGAATATTCGGTAGAATGCATACGCGGCAACCGCCGCGGACTTCTAATAAACGCGCGCGTAGCGGGGATATCGAGGGGCAACAAAGAAAAGAATCTGTTTGGTTTTGAACCAAAAGATTCATTCTGCCCCGTGCTGCGAAGTGCGAAAGGTTAAGCGAAGCAAACACAATTAGAGAAACGGGTAATTGACTCTTGAGAATTCAGCGTTGATACTTGTTATTAATCGTTGTTAAACGTTAATTGTTAATCGTTGTTTGTTGTTAATTGTTAAGAGTCTAATAAACGTTATTGTTGAAAATCAAGAGTATTTCTTGTAGGCACCGACGTTCACCTCAAATGTAAAAAAAAAAATCGAAATATCTTATTAAGTTTCTCCCATGAAGTCGAACGGCTTTCATTTGAAACATTTTTTAGCACTTCTGTTACAGAAATAATTGTGTGTACAGATTTAAAACGGGCATACTGTACATAACTTGTATGAATGTATCGCTAACTCCTATATCGCTGACCTCGAATTTTTGTACTTCAATCTCATTCTCATTCTCATTCTCTTGGCAGATAAAAATGATTCGCAATACTTTAAGGAAATGTTCAACATCAAATTTACAAAACATATCACGCATCTCAATAACAAATTTTCATTTCATATTTAGCTCAAACTCGAAATATTTTTAACGCTAAAAAGGTACAATTGGGTAAGAAATGAGCGAAAGAAGGCAATAGAGTTAAATCTTTCCTACGTTTTCCAATAATTTTATTTCTCTAACGAATACTTAAATTATCTATTTCCTGCGATTTCTCCGTTCAGAGAATTCCCACTTCGCGAAATTCTCCTACTTCTGAAAATTCTAGACAATCCATCATTCATCATACCATAAAAGTAAAAAACTCCTCGACATTCCTTCTTCTAAAATTATTCCTACGATATGATCAAAGGATAAAAAGTTTGCCTTTATCCATTGATTTTGATTGGTCAAAAAGCTGATCAAAAGATTGGTTTCATTCAATTTCAGTTGCCACTTCGTCTGCCGACTTCGTTCTCTAACATTGATTCCAACTTTTTAGTTCCAGCAAGAACGACCGGGCAGGTTCTCCTTGGACAAGTAGACATTGACGTTCAAGAGGACGCCGGAAATGAATTAACGACGGAAGAATCGTTCCCGAAAAAATGCATCGTCGATGACAATACATATTCTCATGGCCAGACGGTGCGTAAACAAATCTATTTACGATCAATTTCTCTTCCTTTCGCTTTTTGTACTTCAGCAAATTGATTTTTCTGATCTCGAGATATCCGGACTGTCGATGAAACGATGCCAAACGATTCTTATTTTCATTTCCATGTAAAATATAATATCTTGATACTTTGAGGAATAAAGGATAAAAAAGTAAAAAAGAATAAAATTGATAATGTTTGCGTCCAGCAGAATTTATACATATGAAATCCAGCAGAGGTTCGCTCCTGCTGTCAACTGAAATGTTTACACATATCGTTCGATAAAGGGCTTTGAAAAATGCACCGGATATAGAATATTCGTTGGATCTGTCGCAATATCGTCTAGCCATGTTTAAGCCAATTACAATTGCACGGCATGAAACTTTTATTTATGAATGTAACCTATTTGCGCGATAATTTAATTATTATTCCAATAATATTGGGTTATTTTTATATACAAGCTTTAATAATTTAATATTTTTTACTTTAACATAAGTATTTCTATCTTCCAATATTTTTGATTTTGATTTTAATATAGAAACTGGAATCTTGACTAATTTTATCAAATATTGTGTATTCAGGGGTACTGAAAATAGTATTACTTAAGTTAAGCTGTTGAGAGAAATTATTCTTGAAACAGCAATTTTTAGTTACGGATGATATGATTAAATATTGTCAGATAATATTGAAAGAATGATATTTGCCAAACATGGAATTTTATGAAAAATTTATGTTCATTCTATTGATATTTTATATTGAATCAAATTTTAGAAAAAGCTACGTAAATATTCAACAGAAATGGGAAATTGCACAATTGAAGCAAGAAAAAATTTTGATAACATGCAATAGAATTAATATATTTTAATCTGTAACAAAAATGATCATTTCTTTAATTATTAATAGTAGTCGATGTAATAGTCGATAGTAGTAGAATCTAATTTACTAAATTGGTTTTCTATATTTATATGTCGGGTTAACATTAGAATTTAGGGCGCGTAACGATTCTTCGTTTGAATTAGCCATCGTTTTACAAAATAGAGATTATATTTACGCGTATATACAAGATTTTACAAAGCATAATGAATATTGAGTTTAATGAATAATAAGATTAACAAATAATATGTTTTACGAATAATAAGTTTAACGAATAATAAGATTAGCGAATAATGAGATTAACGATTGATAGGTTTTACGAATAATGAATTTAATTAACGCTATTAACAATGTTCCAGGGTTCAAACAAATCCACGGTCAACGGGATAACTCTTTACTATGCGTAGAATAATTTTAAACACAAAAATACGATTGCTGAGACACTCGGTGAATTGCTCGATGTATCACTTTCCAAGGCGATCACACGAATGAATATCTGATGAAAATCTTTTTCGCTATACGACTGCATTTGTTTGTTATATGCTCGCTGGAGACATCGAGAAGGTTCCAATCGTTGTTGCTAGGCAATTTCTGTCAAAAGTTTGTTGTATACTCTTTGGAAACATCGAGAAAGATCCAAACGCCGTTGCTAGGCAGTTTCTGTCTGGAGTTTGATTATTAATACAACGTGTGTCCCATTATACCGACACCTCCAAAGTACAATCCCATGTGGCCAGGCCCGTTCTTGAGGCCGTATGCCGCCATAACCACATTTCTAGGGAGAACCATACACCCGCTCCACACCTTCGTCAGGCAAAACGTCCATCCCGTGACCGTGGCTACGTTCGGCGACCAGTTGTCACCTCGAGCCCAATTTCGCTATCACAAGTCTCGAACAATTACAATCAGATCGAATGACAACAATTGCTTAATTACAGCTATGATAAAATCTAGGCTAAAGCATTAGAGAACTTTTCCAAAATTGCAAAGGGAAGGCTCCGATTTTCCTTTCATCTCCGACATATATAAACTATAACTATATATAAACTATAACTAAACTATAACTATATAACTTGCTGCTAGTCATTGTATATTCCTTAAACTTTTATAAAGGAATTATAAATTGGTAATTTTAATCATTCGAGTAATTCTAGCATCAAAAGTTGCGTTTCCTGACATGTACAGGGTGGAATTTTGTCGATATCCCCGGTCAATATGCAATTGACAAATGTGA